TATATATGTATAGGCCTATATATATACAGGTCCATATTTATATATATATATATATATATATATATATATATATGTGTATATGTATCGTATATATGTATATATACGAATATATATGTATGTATATTCAAGAAAAGAATTACTAAACTATTTGTAGCATGCTATTTTGTTGTTGACCTGACATACAGGATCAAGATACTGGGAGTATAAAAGTAACGAGGCAAAGCCTGGGTACCCAAAGCCCATTAGTGACCTAAGCCCTGACCTACCAGACCGAATCGACGCTGCGTTGACTTGGCCTGACTATGGTAAGACGTATTTCTTCCGAAGAAATCAAGTTTGGAGATTCGATGAAAAGAGGAGGGAAGTAGACAATGCCTATCCAAAGCTGATTAATGAGACATGGAAAGGTGTACCAGATAATATTGACAGCGCATTTTCCTATAGAAACGGTAGGCCTTCACATTAACTATCACAGTCAGGGCAGATACATAAGTGCTGAAATTCAACTTGCCGCCTCAAATATATTATTCTCATAATATCCATTGTCACCGTTTTTATTTTTTAGATAGTGTAGGCCCTAGTTTGTTTATTGATTGTAATAGTTTTACGATAGAGTTTATGCTAACTATCAAGTTGTATTATAAGAGAGACAGATAGTACGGTATGTGAATACAAAAATTGAAATTGAAAGAGTTCCTACAGGGCTCACCCCAATAGAGTGAAAAATACTCTTTTATGTGAAGAGGATCGAATTTCTCAGACTCAGACTCAATTTTCAACCGGGAAAGATTAAAATTATAATATACCATGTAGGTACTCTTTCAGTGATGAGGATCCTGATGATGATAATGATGAGGATGGTTGTGGTGGTCCAGTGAAAACGATGAGGATGTGGTAATAATAATAATAATAATAATACTAATAATAATAATAATTAGGCCTATAATAATAATTACGATGACAACGATGATGATTAAATGGTGATATTGATATTGAAAATGACTTTACATTGATGATTATGATAATGATGATAATGTTAATGTGATGATGACGGTGGTGATGATGATAATGAAGATTTGATTTGATTTATTTGTATCTCAAAAACATAAAAACAACCAACTACAAAGGTAATGATGTTTGTGATGGTGATGCTGGCGCCTTAAAAAAGTCAAAACAATGCATTTAAAACTGTCTTTTCTCCTATTCTGTCTAGGGTGCACTTACTTTGTGAAGGGTAAAGAATACTATCGTTACAACAACAGACGTCAGTTTGTAGAGAATGGCTTTCCTCGTTCATTCGGTGTTGACTTTCTGATGTGTCGAGCGGTAGATGACTAACAACTTTTCATATACTTCAAGATATTGCTACATGCAAAATAATTGATGCTATTGGTAGTTGAATATGTTGGATTATGTATGCAACACGCACAACATCTAGTGTCACATGCCAATGCTGTTTTAACTGTTCATATTGTCGTTGTCGGTATAAAGCATTTTTTTTTTCGGATACTAAATTCTAGATGCATACGTCCAGTTATTTTACCACCTGAACCACTGCTGTTTATTTTTTAAACTTTTGTGATAAATAGTTTTCATCCTTATTTTCCATCGATTTACAAACATGTTTTAAATTAAGGTATAGGTTGCTATATTTTAATGTACAGTAGGCTTACATAGAGTGGATTAATGACATCACCAACTCTAATTCCATCTACCAATGCTTCATGTATTCTGTACAAAAGACCTTTCCGCTAAGCCAGCCCCGCCCCTTGGATGTTGTTGCTAAGGTTACAAAACGACAGTGTAAAACATACGCAAGCACGTGCGTTTTTGAGACAACACTTGTTTGTGGACACACGCGCGTGTGTTTCTGGCCCTGTTTTGATGGGTCAGTTGTTCAGCTTGATAGGCACTCCAGAAAGGTGTATTGTCACTTTCGTCGAATTAAATTTGTTGCGTTATACTTCAAGGATGTAGATAAGTATCATCAACGTCATCAACAATAATCTTGTATTAGTAACGTTTAAAGAGACTTCATCTAAAAATGAAATGATGTTTGATTTGCGTCTAAATCATATGAACCTACATTGTAAAGCAAAGTCTTCCTTAATATCCTGCTTAAATGCACCAATGCACCATGAAAAATAATAAACTGTTTAGTCCATTTTTGGACCACAAAAAAATCCCTTCGTCTTGCGTTTAAATATTCTCACATTTGCAGTAGTTAACAAAAAGTCACGGTAAGTATCGAAATAACATCATTTTTTCTGCAGTTTTGTTTGATTGCTGATGCATAATTTATTTATTTATTTCAACAATCTTTAATGAGGGTGGTCCATCCAGCCGAAGCTGATCATTAGGGACCCTCAATACACATAGTAAGACAAAACAAAAGAGCATATTAAACTAATTAAATTACAGTAAAATAAATAACAACCTCTCAATACAAAATTTACATAAAGAATTAATTCAAAATTAAATAAAAAACTTAATATAAAAATTAAAATAAAATTATAATTAAAGATGTAAATGAAAGAGCAATATTAAAAAACAATAGGCAAAGGGACATTAAAACAACAAAGGGAATAAAGTAGCCTAAATAAAATAATCAAATAAATTAAAAATAGATAATAGGCCAATGTATATGAGAACACATAAGAGAATAAAAATTCCCGTTATAAATAAGAAAAAAAAAAGAAAGTTGTACAGAAGGCGGACGTGAGAGGAAGCATACCGATTTATAGTGTTTGATAAACATGTCACGTTACTATAGGCGAGACAGGAAAGCCTCGCAACGTAAGCTTAGGCTGTATTCTATAGGTTTATAAGATTACTATAACTTGATAATTGTTAGAATTTTACATTTGCCCAACATATAAGACAAGCATGATTACACTTGGATTCCGTAATCCTATAGAATAACTGTTGTTTATTTGTTAAAATTATAAATTAATTACTTTGGGTAACCCAAGTAAGGAGAAAAAACTACAAACACAGGAGTTTAAGTGGGGAGTGGGGAATAAGGCATAACATTATACACTGACAGACTGTCAGAGTACAGTAACTCTGCACCACACAACAATAGTAATCTTATAAAGGCCCATTTTTTGTTTTTTGTGGGGTAATCCACTTCATGTTATTTTTTATAAACAAAATACAGTCATAATAATTGTCACATCCATACAAACTGCAGTACCTAAGGAAATAGGACGAACTTATAATTAGGAGACGTGAGTTTACGTTAGAAAGAACAAATTCTCCGGTTAGTGACGTCATACTATAAAAGTTCATGCTTTGGACAAAGTCCTCAAACTATATTCTGATTGGTTAAGCGTTATAACTTCCCCTGGCCCAACAACAACGTCACATTATTTTTTTATTTGCATGACAAAACACTACATAGGTTTAATTCCATAAGACAGAGAGCGAACTAGAAATTTCTCGCAGTCGAGGTTGAACATCGGAAGAGCATGGAGTACCAGCGTCGCTGTCTTCTGTTAAGTCTGTTCCTAGTCGGTCTCTTGGCAGCGGGCTGCCGAGCAGGTGATGACGACGACGACGACGACGAGGAATATCAAGAAGTTAAGGTAGGAATTATGAAGATTTTAACAAAAAGACCAATAGAGTAAATCTAAAATAAGTACCGGCAATATTCATTAATTTTGTTTTGCATTAGCTTCCTATAATCTAATACAAGTGACTGAAAATCAGATTGGGGTCTCAATATAATTGTTAAAAATGTTTGTGTAATATTAATATTGTATGACAAGAGAAAATATATTTCAATTTATTTATTATTTCAGTTATTTAAATTTTCAGCCGTTTTAAATACCCTTATTGTGCCGAATTAGTTCAATGCCATACAAATAATCGTTCCAATCTCCATACAAATAATTATTATTGTTCCGAATGACATGAAACATGAAATTAAACTGTAATTTCATTTCCTTTTCATTTGAATACAGAGAATAAAACATAGATTAAGTATATGGCTTAATTAAACTACTCTTTTTATACAAAAATGTCGCTTCTAATATGGATAGACAGAAATATCTTTTTATATGACATTTATCAGCGTTGGTAGAGTATTTTCGGAAAGTTTTCACGATTCTTCGGATTGAGTTCCTCAAAAAGATAATTCCCTTGTGAAATATTTAGATTCGTTGAGCTGTCTCTTTATTCTTGACGCTGGGTATATACAGACGATTTTAACATTTAATTTAGATTAGTTATATTTTCAGATGCTATAATTGCGATGAAGATGCCTATTATACATTGTGAAAATCCAATAATTATACTATTGTATGACCAATGCTCCATTATGAATTTTCAGTCTATTTATGATTTTCTTATACACAAAATATTGCTTATTTACATGACGTATTGGTTTAATTGTATCCTTGACTAATTGGTAAAGGGAAATTGGATTAAATCAATACCGATCACTTTCTATAATGACGAAGATAATCCTTCCTCCTGAAGGCATATTGTGTATTCATATATTAATGGTCGCCTTGTATTGTCTCTCTGAAATATTCCTCTGTTCCCAAGTGTACTTTCAAAGACGTCACGTGACGTGATGACTAACATTAGGTTGACATTCAGTACAGGTGTAAAGATTCGAGAGATATTATATATGTATGATAGAAAGATAAAAACCAAAAATACTCAAGCACCCAGTTCTTGTAAGATACAAATCTGACAGATTTGTAAACTGAATCTGAAATAATATTATATTTTTAGAATGCAATACATCGCGGTACTATACGGTGATTAACATTTTTGGAACAATTATACTCCAAATATTAAATATTTATAAACAAATATTAATCATGTATGTAATATCGCTGTTAATTTAACATTAGTTTATATACTTTTATTTTTATATATTTTAATGTTTATAAACTATATTCAACGTATATCACATATGGCTAGTGCAGTAATATAGGTAGGTCTAATGTGAATAATTAAAAATTATCATAAATTAAATGTACCATGTAAGATGAAAGTCTGGTTTAGGTTTGAAATGTTCTTTGTGTAGGCCTATTGACACTCGACCTTTGACATTATTGTCTTATCAAATATAATTTTTAAATAGTTACATACCTGTGTTAGTGTCTGATATTGTAAATTGTGAGACATCACGATTTTTTTTAATAAATCGCTTAAAGACAAAGCCTCATTAACGAAAATAAAATACGCTATTAATAAAAATATTTACATGTATAATAAGTCGGTTTTGAAAACAGAGTACTTACTATAGGTTTGTTTTATTAAATCATCTGGTAAAATTTCCTCAACAGAAAAAAAAAACAAACAATTAAACAGCAGTGCTACGTAATAGTGAAGGACCAATTGTCGATTCGGTTCGTCTTCTTTTTGCGTGGTCCAAGGATAAGAGTTATTGCCAAATTTTTAAAGTTAACTTGGCAAAATTTCATCAAGACTGAATTCATCTGTATGACTCAGACTCTTTCAAATTGGTTTCTTCCTGTCGTCCCTTGCGTTCGGCTTACACGGCTCTCCGCTTACATACCAAATCACAGATCAACTTAGATTTGGAAAAAATCTTCCAGAATTCACACTTTTATGGAAAGTAATTAAGAAACTTACTGAATAGTTTGTTATCTATTATATCTTTGAGAGTTAATGATGTTCGACAATTAGTGTTATTTTCTCTTGTCGACTTAGCCGATAGTTTTATAATCAAACTTATACTTACATGCACAAAGCTTTATAAACCCACCTTATCAATAATAACGCATCCAATTTTAACTTCGCAAAAGAAACTAAAAACAAAATGAAACCAAAACAAAAAAATCCCAGAGGTCAATACAACGAGACTACTTTAAATGTTTCACAAGACCTGTCCATATGATTCCTATAGGTCAATTTAACATTGACCTATTGACCGAATTGAGATCGATAAGCAACCATTGGAAAAACTTCTTTCTGCGTTTTAAATAATTCCAGGCATTAGCAACAACACGATAAAAGCTACCAGAATATTGAGACAACATAATAAGAACATTGTACCGTCTGAAAACCCGCTAGTGATTGGTTTCAAAGTTAAATTAATTGATTCTTCTTGCAGTCATTGAACGGTCTACTGACTTTTGATATTCTTATAGGCCTACATGATCTATATTTTAATGACGATTTGGTTTTCTGCCAAGTAAAACTCTTATAGGCATAGTCACATTCATATTCATTTTTTTGTTTAGAATTATTGTGGAAAGATGTAACATTTGATAGGTTGAGTCAAACGTCGGCACGGTATTTTAATTTATATGGTTACACCGTAGGCTTTATTGCCTATTCACGATTGTTTCAATATTTTGTCTTGCAGGGTCTTAAATGATTCTCAGTTTCAGTCTCCCAATGTGAAGTTTCTCCAAACACCCTCCTCCCCTCCCATCCTTTAATGAAACGCACATTCGCTTTAACTCGAATCGATGAGTTAAACAATAGTTGCCACAATTCAATTTACCTAAATCCTCAGTGATTAATTCAGATCCTGTTCATCGGTGACTTCGTACCTACTAATTCAAATCTAATTGTAAAATGACTCTCGCACGAGTCTTCGGGATATTGCAAGAGTCAAACTTAGGAGCAGGTGCACGGATGAAAATTTCTTTATTGGGTCTACTTCTTCAACAGGACTGGCATTCTTACCCACTTCTTTAACAAGACTGGTGCTATTGCCCATGACTTTGATCCTGATCCTTAAAGCCCCATGTAGGGCAAAACGAGGGTTTAGTGCCGAAATCTTGATTTTGTGCGATAGTTGTTGGTCGCTCCTGGCCGTACTGTCTCGCCAATCAGCATTTGGCTGGTGATCTTGTCCATGAAAATGGCAGCTTTTACGAACTTATATTTTGGCAAAAGTTCAGATGGTGCAAACTGGTCAAGGCTTAACGCTGATATGATTTAAGACAATAATTTGCCCTTTGAAATTTGTATAATAAGCTAGTAACGAACGATGGCAGGTGTATACAACCTCATAGTTTTGAGTTCGTTAATTTAAATTGGATTTAATTTGATGAGCATTTATTTTTCTTAAATTCTTAAAGATGTATTTCTTCCTTAAAATCACAATACAATTATTCCAATCAAATTTCAACTTAACTGGTGGCACATTATTTGTAAGTAGTTTTTACCCTAATTTCTATACCGGATATCGATAACAGTGAAAGAAATACTTCCAGTTACTGAAGTACCCGTAGCTTGCCTAATCTAACTAATCCTATAAAAAGCCTTAGCGATACATGAGTTACTAAGAGGAAAGACTAATTCAAAAAAATTAGGGATATTTGTGACTATGATTACTTTCCTAGTCAGGTTGGTAGATTTGAACTAAAACTTAGTACATGTCATGTCCACATTAAAATCGTTCACAGGTGTTCAGTAGCAGGTTTACGTAGGAGGGCATGTGGTAGGCAAGGCGAGCACGAAAGAAAGTTGAAGAAACGAATTAACACGCCTGAAGAAGAACCATAATTAGCCAGTCTGCGGTGGTAATCGTCCAAGATTAAAATAGTAAAATCTTATAATAAAAAAATAAAAAATAAAAGAATAATACAGTTCACCTTCATTTTCAATTTTGTATTTTTTTGTGCAAGGAAATACTGTACACAACACATCTGTCCCGTATTCGGAAAATTAGCTTATTCCGGGCATCGTAACTTGTAAAATACGTCTCAACAGATTTCTCAATCATACTTTCGGTGCATCGAGAACTGTGATATTCAAATACGCAGGCACAGATTTAAAGAGCAGTTGCATTTATCGGCTTTGAATTCCCAACGAAGCCCCAATGGTCCGGTTGGTTAAAGCGTCTGCACAGACAGCAGAATGTCGCGGTTTCGATATTTTACTTTTTTATTTTTTTTTAACTCATTAAAACCGCACCCACTTACAACCAAGCATTGCAACACAGTGGATACACAGAAAACATCGTATATTCACAGAAAAAAGAGAGCGCCACAAACATAAACAAGAGGAAAAACAGAAGCAGAAACATCATATGGTTCAACCCCCATACAGTAAAAATGTCAAAACTAACGTCGGGGAAACATTCATAAAGCTGATAAACAGGCACTTCCCACACGGACACAAGCTCCACAAAATATTCAACAAAAACAACGTGAAAGTAAGTTACGGCTGCATGAAAAACATGAATTCCATCATCAAGGGACGTCAACTCGCAAATCATCAAAAAGAAAGTTAAAGCAACAAATCCAAAAACATGCAACTGCAGAAATAAAGAGAACTGTCCACTACGCGGCGAATGCCTGAACAGTGCACTGAATAGGGCTACAATAACTTCTGACGAGGGGACAAACTCATACATTAGACTATCAGGCGGGGCATTTAAGCAACGATTCAGTAACCACACAAAGTCCTTCAGGCACGAAAAATATAAAAAAGAAACAGAGCTCTCAAAACACATATGGGAATACTCTCTGTAATGGGAAATCATTAAGAAATCCAACACACACAAACGTAAATCTGGCCAGTGCAAACTATGCATAGAAGAAAAACTAGCAATCCTAATGGCAAAAGAATCTAACATAAACAGAAGAACCGAACTAGTCGCTAAGTGTCGTCACAACAGCAACCCACTGAACCGTATTAAAAACAATAAGTCACCTAACCGCTCCATGATTTTACTTTTTTATTTATTTTTTTACTCATTAAAACTGCACCCACTTACAACCAATCCTTGCAACACAGTGGATACACAGAAAACAACTCATACAAAC